CGATCCCTGATGTAATCCAACAGAAATAGGAAAATATTTGGTCAATCCTCCTTCAGTTTGAACACAAGTAACAGTTATAGTATACATGTCTTTAATGACTTGAATATAAGTCATATCAACACTTTTCTTCTCAAGAACTCTCCAAAGGATATCTCTTGGAACCTTATCATAAGCTTTTTTTTCTAAATCAATAAAAATCAAATGTAGATTCTCCTTATTATCTCTGAACTTCTCCATCAAACCTCTCAATAAATGTATAGCTTCCATAGTAGACCTGCCCGGCATAAATCCAAATTGATTATAAGAAATCTTTGTAATGCGTCTTAACCTATGTTCAAATACCCTCTCCCATAATTTTAAAGTATGAAAAATTGATTATGAGACATCAATACAACAAATGGCTAATTAGCAAAAATTTTAATTCAGCTAATGCAAACAAAATGAATGAGTTGCAAGGTGAGCAAAAAATATGTGGAAGAGAACCCCAAATCTTATTCATATAGAAATGAGAAAAACTTAATCTATTCAGACACTAAACTTCCTCGGGCTCCCTTTCAAATTCCTAAATAGCGGCACCAAAATCTCACGATAAAATCTAAATGAGAATAGAAGTTGAACTAAAGAAACGGAGCATTTTGTGGGTTGAGAGCAAATATAACCATCATTTATAAGTCCAATAGAGAGCTTCTTGTAAAAGAAATTCTTGTAAGCACGAGGAATCGCGACGAACGGCAATGAATTGGTGCATGGCAATAGTCTAGATATTAATAGCATGTCGGATGTTATTAATGCTTGGCAGCTGGGTGAAAAAAGGGGCTAGGGTTTCATAAAAGAAAATACTAAAGTTACATAAAAAATTTTGGACTAAGCCAGTGAGGGCATGGGCCCCCTATGGCCCAAGGATGGATTTGTCCATGCACCCACAAAGTGATGCAGTAACAAGGTGCTTGAGCCTAGTTATCAAATTTTACTCATATTTTTATGATGTATTTCGTCTTAATCTTCATTCTCCTAGTCATGAAGGGCAGAACAATAATTTGTCATTTAGAATATGCTTGGCAATTATTGAATTTTACTGAAAGGTTAGAGAGTCTATAAGGGCTACTATTATAAATAGTAGGTCATATGTTATAATTCAATTAGTTGACGATGAAATTTAAAAAAAAAGGCTCTATTAGCAGTTAGATTGGGAAATTAAAACCCAATTAAAACCTATTCTTGGATACAACCCTAGTAAGGGAAAAAGCCTTCAAGCAAAAATCTGAAATTGAACAGCACAAAACCTAACCCTAAACTCAGCAAAACCACATATAAATAGAGTTAATTGGGTGGGAAAAGAAAAAGGAAAAGGATAAAAGGAGGGTGGTAAATTCCACCCCTTACAGGACCGGTCCAACCTCCTGCTGGACCGCAATCATGCCTTGGCAGATCAACCAACTAACCAGAGCCCCACATTAATCTCCCGTGGTTAGGGAGGCATCAACCTCTTTCATCGAAGCTTCTAGATCCTCGACATACGATGTCAAGTCCGCGACACTGAACATAGTGGAGATAGTTTAATCCCCTGACAGGTCAATCTTGTGCAAAGTCATTTACCTTCTAAAGTATTCTAAAAGGTCCATCTGCTCTAGGTTTCAGTTTCCCGAATGCTCCTACTCAAAATCTTTCCTTCAATCGAATCCACATGATGTCTCCTTCTTGAAACGTCACCTTCTTCTTAGACTTGTTTCACCTTTGTTTGATATTTGTGATTCTGCTTAGAAATCTACTTTCCAACCTCCTCGTAGTTTTGTAGAATCTCGTGAACTCATTTTTCAGTATCCTCATTGACCTCTAATGTCGTAAGAAGTGGTACCGACACAGGCGACGTGAGCAGGTTGCACTCATACACAATGATTCAAGGATTTGTCATATGCAAGCTCAACTTGAGTGAGAATTAGATCCCATTATTTAATGATTTTTCCCACGAAACACCTCAAAATGTTTTGTAGGCCCTATTTACTATCTCCGTCTGACCATTCGTCTGTGAATGAGCAGTTGAACTGAATTGGAGTTTGGTGGCTAACTTCCCGCACAAGGTCTTCCAGAAGTGGCTTTAAAATTTGAAGTCTGTGTCAAAGGTGATGATCCTGGGAATTCCTTGTAATATCAAGATCTCTCTGAAGTACAAGTCAATGATATGAGACACGTATAGCATCTGATTGTAGGGTATGAAACGTGACGTCTTCGAGAATCGGTCCACGCAACCATGATGAAGTCCTTGTTCCTCTACTTCCTCGGAAAACTCATAATGAAATTCATGTTGGTGTCTACCACGGTGTCTTTGATACTGGTGAGGGAGTATACATCCTTGCATTTTGCCCTTTAGTCTTTGTTATACGACAAATCATGCAGTCTGACATGTCACTCCACTTCTCTCATCAGTTGGACCCAAAAGAAGTGCTCTCCATGAGTGGGAGAGTCTTGTCCCGGCCAAAATGTCCTGTCAGAACTCTGTTATGGCTCTCCTGAACAATGGCTTCCCTCAGTGAGCACCTGAGAATGCACACCATACTTTGGTAGAACAAATATTCATCGGCCCTATAATACTGCTCGGTCGATTTCTCCTGACATCGCTTATAGATCTCCATGAAGTCTTCGTCTGGTCGTATAAGTTATTTACTACCTTGAACCCCACAACACGAGTCTACATCGACGTGATCAAAAGGTGACGACGGCTCAGTGCGTCTGCTACGTGGTTCTGG